ATCGTTGATATTCGGCAACGGATATCGATCGTCTATGGTCTTCTCATTGATTTTCCGATAGTCAACGACTATTCTCCACTTTTGTCTTCCGCTCGCGTCGAGTTTCTTTGGAACAATCCAAATAGGGCTGCTCCATGGACTTTGACTCGGTCTTATGATGCCATCTTCTAACATTTTATTTATTTGCTTCTGTACTTCTTGCTTATGAACAAAAGGATAACGATATGTTTTTGAGTGAGCCGGAATTTCGTCGGAAGTTTTTATTTCATGTTTAATTTTATTGGTGAAAGTTAGTTTTTGATTTTCTTCATGGAATATATCGGAAAAATCCTTACAAAGTGATGTTAACAATTGCTTTTCTTCGGTATTTAAATGTTCAGTTCGAATTAAATTTGCAATATTTAAATTCTTATTTAATTCAGATTTTGGCAAAAATGTTTCGATATTAAAAAATTCAAAGTTCTCTTTCCGCGAATCGGGGAATGGTATCACTTTCACAGGTTCTGAAAATGATATCATCAGATGTTCGTTAGTTCTATTGAAAACTTCAGTTTTCGCATAGCCTCGAACAGCTGTTGTCAATGTTTCAGGGAAATGCAGGTGGTTGATATATGACTCCGGAATTATTATGTCACCTTCGTAGACGTTCACGGGAATTTTCACAGATGCGATCTCATAGCTATTGACCGATACATCGTGAGAAATATTTTCCGTTTTATTAAAATGTAATGGAATTTTAAGAATGTCATTTACTAGGAAATTATTTTTTAAATCAATAAAAAGTTTTAATTTTTTCAATTGATCTAAACCCAAAATTCCATCAAAAAATGAATGAAAATCGAAAAGTGTAAATGTAATTGTCTCGTTAATTTTTAATTCTGAAAAGGCAGGTATATTCGCTTTAAATCGAACCAATTTTTCTCCAATACCTGTCTTAATCAGGGTTTCCTGTTGGAAAATTTCATTAGGAAAATATTTTTCAGCAATTATGGGTCTTAATATTGATTGAGAGCAACCAGTATCAATAAGTAATTTTATTGGTGGATTATTGATTTTAATATATGGTAAATTACTATTGATTTCGGTATGCATTTCAGTTAAAGTTATGTTTGGTTCTGGCTTGGGCCAGGATCCTGAAAATTTCCGGTGTTTTCGTCATAAGAATTATCAAAGGTTTCAAAATTTTGATTATTTTGTGAGCCATCATCGGTATAAAATTGTTCGTAATTATCAGTTTCGTATTGTTCTATGTTGTCGGTCTCATCAAAGGGTAAATCAGTTGGGTTATCGATGTTCGATTGATTATCGATTTGGAACAACTCCTGCGAAATAAAATTTCGCGGACCTGTAGGTTTAAAGAAATTAGAAACTGGGCGTCTAAGGCTTGGGATTCGAGACGTGGTCGACATAGGTTCCACTTTATCTAAAGGTTTCTGACCCGTGGGTTTGAATACATCTTTTGGAGGGCCAAATACTTGTCTGTTGGTCGGGTAATGTCTAGGCACATATTGTGTCTGAATGTTTATGGGTTGAGAAGGAAAATTCGGGGTCCTTGATTTAAAAATTGACTGGGGATTTGATTACGGTTCTGGTTTTGAGGTGGGGGAATCTTGGAGACTGGTTTTGGAAATTTGTCGGATAATTATATTGTGGATTAGATTGATTAGACTGATGAGCTCTTTGTGTGAAATATGGATGAGGTGTGGTTGGTATGGGTGTGTGTGGTTTTATGTTATTAAAAGTGGACTGGGGTTGTTTAAATAAATTTTGAGTGTACTGAAAATTTGCTTCTTCGGTTATGATTGTGAGAGCACTTTCGAGATTTTCGGGGCTTCTTAGTCGTGTTATGCTTTGTAAAGGTCCAGGGAGGTTACGAATAAAAGTTCTTAGGGCTATTTGCTCGTATTGCTTTTGATAAATTGTTTTGGTCGAAATCGGCATTTCAGTCAGAGGAAGACTGTTTAATTTTTGAGCTAATTGACTACGTAATATTTGCAATCTCTTAGCAAAATCCAAAGACGTTTCTCCTTTATTTGGCTTAGCCATAAAAAGATCTTGTTCTAAACATTCCAAGCTTCTATTGTCGCCAAAACAGGCTTGCAATGCATCTTTGATTTTTTGCCAAGTATCTAGTTCTGATCGGCAACCTACTAATAGTTGAGCTCTACCGACTAACTTAGTTTGTATTACTCTGATTAAATAATTGATCATAATCGCCTCTCTAGAATTACCAAAAGTTGTAAAGAGAAAGTCGCATGCAGAAATAAAACTGTGTAAGGTAATAGAATTTCCGTCAAAATTAGGAATAATGTCTACATACATTTTAAGCATTTGCAGATTATTTTGTGTTTGAGCTTGGCTTTGATTTTCCATCTTATTTGATTTTAAAACTAGTTTATTAGAAAATTCGTTTGTCAAATCGTCAATATTCATAAAAGAATAAAAATTAAAATAAAATAAAATAGAGAAATTACGATAGCAAAATATAATATAGGTAAAATATGTATTCGTATATTTAAATAACTAAAAATAAAAATCTTTTTGTTTCTTTAAATAGCTAAATTAACCTTAACTTAAAAATAAAAAGAGATTTCCTAAACAGGGAAAGTAAAAGAAATTGACAAAAAGGACTTGGCACTTACCGACTCAACGGGGTGACAAAACCAATTTGGACTCTGCTCTGGTATTCGGCTTTCGATGTCTCACTCCTTACACTACCGAAAATCGGACTCGATGCCGTGGCTTTCCAGAAGTGTTCGTTCGGATCGGCACTAAGGGATTAAATCCGCGTTTTTCGCGATAATCAATTCAATGATTTTGTTGCGACAAACTGCACCAATCCTACCGACTGCGCCAATTATGGATTTCGACAACGAAAATACTTTTTTAAAAAATTTTATTTTTCACAAAGTATGTTTAACAGATACAATGAATACAATGGTTAAGAACAGAATGACAATTTTAATGCGCTTGGTTATATTTATAAGTTCGGTTTCGCTCGCGTCTTCGTGGGAAAACCATGCTATTTCCTCTCACATAACTATTATATCAAGTCATTTTTTATTAATGTATTTTTTATGTGGTTTATATCTCTGTTTAGTGAAATGTCGTCTGAACATATTATTTTTGCCCTATCATATAAACTTTTTATAACACCTTTTTTACACTTATGTTATCATTGATTTGTCAGCATTCATGGGACATGGGGCACAGAATAAATTTTAATAATGCCAAAATTATAATGAAAGAAGCGATAGCCTCTAAAAGAAAAATAAAAGAGGTTTTTTTAATACAATCTAATAAATATAAATGTATTGCTCATGCATCCGTAGATGTTAGTAATGTATGGCAATCGTTTCTTTGATTTTAAAGAACATAACATAAATAAACATAACATACCTACGTAAAAATTAAAAATAATCATACAGAAAGTTTGAGGCTTTTTGGTTTTACCTTATTAAGTAATTGTTATCAGGTAGTAGATAATTGTTAACTTTGAAGTTTAACTTGATATAATGTCATTTTAACAGAACGTCAACGGTTTTTGTAGACGTATCTGTTTTAAAAAGCTAAAGTGTTCTTGAATAGTTGAATTTAAATATTTTAAATAGTTTTTTCTTTATTCTTTGTATTTTTTTTGCTTTCGACGACGGAAAGAGATAAACTTTCCGAAACGTTAAGCATTTTTTTGTTTGTTAAACAAATTTGTATAACTGTAAACCTAACTTCTGACAAGTAGTCACAAAACATCCCCCTTTAGAACTTTTTCTTTAATGGCCATAAGCGGGAGTAAAAGCCCAACCGCCCGAACAAACACTAGAGGCGCCACCGGTCATCAAATGGTGTAAAAATTGCGAAAATTTAATCATCTAATTTTGACACAAGGGGTCGCGCTTAACTTTTTCAATTTTAATTCAATATTCATTGTTTTCAAACTATATTATTAGACTTTGTTGTATTTTGTGAATGTATAAATGTTTTCTTAGTATAAATTTGCATTATAGTAATTTAAATTATATGTTAAATATGTTTAAGATTCAAATATTATGACATATATGTCAGTTGCCGTCTAAAATGTCATCTTGATAACAAAAAGTTAGTCTATGAAGTTAGTTATTGTCAAAAGTAGTTAAAATCATGTTAAAATATTAAAATTTACAAGTTATAATTAGATATTTTATATTATTTCAACAACAAACACATAATAGTACACCGTAATGTTGATATGCAGGTCCAAAACAAAAAGTGCCGTTATATTTTTCAATTTTCGTTGTCAGCTGCGGAAGTTTCAGTGATTTTAGTGTTGTCGGACATTTTTATTTGTGAAATAGAAATATTGCGTTTGGATTGCAAAACTAAAAGTGGAAGTTTTATTGCAATGTAAGTAAGCGTTTGTCCATTTTATATTTTACTTTTTTCATACCTACGACAAATATACATATATTGAAATTTTATAATTCGTTTTATTTAAAAAATGTTAGAAAACAAGCTTATAATCCTGTAATTGACATACTTGTTATGTAATATATTCCATTTAAATGTAATATATTACTTTACAATTAAAAAAATGTAAACTTAAAAAATATATTAAATATATACTGTCATTAATTGAAACTTTTTGAGTGCGAACAAACACGAGAGGCGCTTTATTATTTACTTTCATTTCTTAACATGACAGACGAAGTTCTAAAGGGGGATGTTTTGTGCAAGTAGTTTCCGTGTGGGATTAAAGCAGAAGTGTTTACAAAAAATAACGATTTTATTTTGTAGATTTTCTTGCAGTGGCGAAATACCCATAGATGATTTTTTGGAGAGATCATTAATTTAACTTTAGAAATAAAAAAAGAAGAGCCCCTTTTTGTTGGTATACCAAACCGGTATCAAATTTCTACTCAATATTCCAGTAAACTTTTTCTTCCCATCTGCTCTCTTCTATCTCTCAACTGCTTTATTCACTATTTAATAACCATTTAATAAAAAAAGTGTAATTGTTTGCTTACCTCGACATTCTTTTGAGGGTACCTTTTGAGGCTCCATTTCCGTTATTCTGATTTTGAGTTTGCGGCTGAAGCGGTTGCAACTCTAAACTCTCCTGCGAGCGGCGGTGGTGGGTTCTGGACTTTTTCAAAGCGTTCTTTAAACCCTACAACATTGTAACTCTGTTACTTTGGATTAAAATATACTAAAATATAGAAAATTGAATAATAATATCTGGGGGAAAAAACACAAACCACAATGTAAATTTGTGTAGGGTCAAGTGGTGAAAATTATTGTAGAAGTAATTCGAATTAAAAAATGTATTCAGTTTAAATTTTGGCAAAAGATCTTATACCTTTGCTTCATTTTTTAACTTGTCCACTAGTCCTTTGTCTTGCCCATGCTGATTATGATGATCGCCTTTGTGATGAGGTGGATGTTTTGCACTAGCTTTAACCTGCAAAAGCTGTAGATGTAAAACAGCATGTCGGTTAATTAAAAAAATACTACCAAGCAGCGTAATTGAACAAGAATAAAGATTACCAGTTAAAGATTAAAGTATAGAAAAAAGCTAGCAGATAGTGACGAATGATATAAAACTTAAGTTTGTTTTTAAACTTTCGCATAGCTGTTTCTTGCTAATGTCAATAAATGCATATAGTCAGATTATACATTCCAATTAAAAAAGCAGAATTTACTCTTAAACTTATTAATTAAATCAGAATCAAATTATAAGGTGTATAAATTAATTATAGCAAATAAGGATTAATGAAATGAATATTTCAAATTTCTTGTTTTTTTTCTAGCATGTTATAGCACAGTGACATTAAAATATTAATTATTTTTATTTATAAAAGAATCACAGCATAATGAATGGTGAATAAAAATTGTTTACCTGTCATCAAGCAAAACACGTATGATCATAAAACTTTTTAATCACATTATTTTTAAGTGTATAGTGTGTAGTATCCTCTTTTCATGGGTTTTACAGGCTTTCTCGTTTATGAGTAGATAAAAAAAACAGATTGTAAGCAGTACGCATATGCATTTTTCACATTAATATGCTACTTTTTTTTAAGTAAAAATGCTACTCACATATTTGTTATAACCCTTTTAGTTTCTGAAATAAAGGGTGCATTTGAAATTATTGCATTCTATGATTCCTCTTGTAATTTTATCGAAAAGATGAAAATGGACTTCCATAGAGTTCGTCTCGCAGAATTCAGTGACGTAACTAGTATTTTGCTGTGAGCTCTCTCATTATTGAACTATGACCCAAACTTATGTATTTTTAAATAGAACACCCTGTATGTCATTTTTTATTTTATTTGCCTTGTTATGAGCTTTCTAAAAATATGATATTCTATATTTACTTATTTTCGTAAACAAGATAAAAACTATATTATTGCATAGGCAGCCGGTTTAAATAGTTAGACGATGAAAATCAAAATTATCTGGTTAAATTAAATTAAGTAAAAAAAATAATATTTTTTTAAACTATATAGGTTGTTGTTATACAGGGTGAGTTTCCTACGATGTTCTCTATGGGTATCTCGGAAACTACTTGAGATAGAGAGTTGGTTAAATGGGGAAAGAATTGCAGTTTTGTGGGGTCATAGCTTAGTTCATAGCTTACTAGATATAAAAGTTCATAGCTTACTAGATATTTCGAAAAAAATAAATTTCGGCTATTTTAAAAATTGTCCCTAATTCCATTATAAGCTATTTTAGACAAAAAGTTTTCAGATAAAAGTTGTAGATAATCTCATTCTTAATGAAACTGTGTTCTCCGCTTTTTTCTAAAGCCTGTCATTTTTGACATATGACACAACCATAGGTTTTTTTAAATGGAAACCATAGTTGGCCATGGCTTCATAAAAAGCGCCATTTTTTAAGCTTTTCAGCGATATAAGCTATAATATGTTTTCTTCGAAAAATTTCTGAGTTATAGCCAATTCTTATCATTTTTAAACAATTTCACTTAGATAGCCATGGAAAGAAGTTTAATCGTCTGTGCTCTCAGAAATATGAAATTGTCACATTCAATCTTTGTAAATTAAAATAAACAAAAATTGTAAATAAACATTTTTCAAATGAAGAAAAGCGTGTAGTATTATTGGTTCAACTTTTCTTGGCCATACATTTACGCGGATACGTTGACCGGTGAATGTTACGTTTTTTAGAGAACGGTTTTCAAGACATGTTAGAAAAGTTAAATTTAGTTATAGCCAATTCTTATCTTTCTTGACTAATTTCACTTAGATTGCATGGTATTCTTATTCTGTTATGATTTATAACTTATAAAATGTCTTGTTAAAATGTTCTTTACAATTTACATTACACAAACTAAAACTTAAAAAAATAATATCACTACATACACTTTAAGTTATTTTAAAAAATGTTCAAGAATCCGCCATTGTTTTGAGTTGCATGTTTTTAAAACTGAATTACTACCTATTCTCACAGAAGGACCGGTTGACTTAATTAAACTTTTCTCTCCGCCACTTCGAGTGCCTCTCTTAATTCCTAAGTTCTTTTGTCAACCTTATTGTTAACTATACTGCATAAAAAATTCTAAAATGGATAGGTCAGGTGATTGAGGAGGCCCATGCACTTAGTCCACCGCTTCCTATCCCTGCATTTCTGTCATTATGGGGGGTGGGGGGTGGTGTGTCATAATGAAAGTCATGTTGGAACCACTCTATTGATGCGCGAGTATCTACACGCTTTTCTTCATTTCAAAAATTCATATTTACAATTTTTGTTTATTTTAATTTACAAAGTTTGGATGTGACAGCTTCACATTTCTGAGAGCAATGGCGATTGAACTTGTTTCCATGGCTACCTAAGTGAAATTGTTTAAAATGATAAGAATTGGCTATAACTCAGTAGTTTTTCGAAGTAAAGATATTATAGCTTATATCACTAAAAAGCTTAAAAAATGGCGCTTTTTATGAAGTTATGGCCAACTATGGTTTCCATTTAAAAAAACCTATGTTTGTGTTATATGTCAAAAATGACAGGCTTTAGAAAAAAACAGAGGACACAGTCTCATTAAGGATGAGATTATCTACAACTTTTATCTGAAAACTTTTTTTTCTAAAATAGCTTATAATGGAATTAGGAACAATTTTTAAAATAGCCGAAATTTGTTTTTTTCGAAATATCTAGTAAGCCATGAACTTTTTCAAAAATCTGAAAGGCGCATATTTATGTCCTCACAAAACTGCAATTCTTTCCCCATTTAACCGACTCTCTATCTCCAGTAGTTTCCGACATACCCATAGAGAACATCGTAGGAAACTCGCCCTGTATGAAAACAAATACAGACTAAATTATATTTTTAGACAGCTCATAACAAGTCAAATGAAATAAAAAAAAATATTTAGTGGTCCATTTAAAAAAAAACTGAGTTTGAATTATATTTCAAAATGATAACTTCCAGCGAAAAAATAGTTATGCCTCTGCATGGATTCTACGTGAAAAACTCTACGGGAAACAGTTTTCATCTGTTCGATAAGTAATAAAATAACCAAGATTCAAAGAGGGTGGAAAAATGCAATATTTTAAAATTATAATTATATACAGGGTGAGTCTTAAAGTGCAAATATTTTCAAGGCTGGTAGATCTCGATAATAGATAAGATAATATATATAATAAGATATAAAGATAAGAAATATATTTTCTCTTTGCCATTTTTCAAAAAGTCCAAATTAGTAACTTAGAGTTATTTTACTCTGAAAATTTGTAAAAAAAATAATTTTGCGTAAATATTGAGAACCACTGGATGTTTTGTGGGTTTTCTTTCTAGTAAATAAGATTTACTCCCTATGTTGCCATATTATCAAAAATTTATGTTTCTCAACTAAAAACATTTCCAAAATTTTTTTCCAAAAATTTAAAATTTTCAAAAAATTTCAAATTTTCAAAAAAATTCAAATTATCAAAAAAATTTCGCGAAAAAACCTCATAATTGTATTTCTGGGGTCGAAATATAATAGCCCTAAAATATTTGCACCTATTTAAGACTCATCCTGTATAATAAATTAAAAAAAAAATTGCCCTCTATTTCAGAAACAGAGTCACATAGAGTTTGTCACGTAGAATTCAGTGGCGTAACTAGTGTTTCGCTTTCGTTTTTGTTCTATGGGACTCAGTTTTCATTTATTCGATAAGTAATAAAATAACTAAATCCAAAGAGGGTCGAAAAATGCAATACTTTAAAATTCGCTCTGTTTTTCAGGAACTAAGAAGGCTAGAACAAATATGTGTGTAGCATCTTTAGTTTCATAAAAAAAATGGTCAAGTGCAAGTCGGACTCGCGAACGAAGGGTTCCGTACCATTCATTATCTATACAACATTAGACACTATATTATTATAAACTTTTTTTCCGATTTAGCTGAAATTTTGAAAGCGTGTATAAGTAATTAAAAAAAAATGAGGAAACACATTACTAAAAATTGTATTATTCAATAATAAATATGTAAAAAGTAAAAATAAATATGTAAAAATATGTAAAAATTTAAAAAAAAACGATTAAAAAAAGTCGCCTTGACTAGGATTCGAACCTGCCTTACTACGGCTCCAACGTCATAGCAGCGTAACACTTTAACCACGCGGCCACCGAGGACTTGAAAGATTCTATGTAAAATTCTTACTTAAAAGATAATGTTTAGTGAAAGTACTTTTTTATTTATAAACATTTATTTAATTATGTTTTCAGTATATGTTCTTATAGCGGCAACATAGATACATTATCTGTAAAAATTTCAACTGTCTAGCTATAACGGTTCATAAGATAGACCTTTGTGACAGATGGACGGAGGGACGGACAGGGAAGTCTTAGTAATAGGGTTCCCGTTTTTACCATTTGGGTACGGAACACTTAAAAGTAGCACGTGATGTGGAAATCGCTTTGTACCTCTACTCACAAACGGGAAACCCTGTAAAATCAACGAAAAGAGAGGACACCCTGTACTGTTTTTTTTAAATATGTATATTTATTTGTAATATCTAGACGTAAAATGTTTTAGAAAAAATATAGAAAGCAAGGCAATATACTTTTTTAACTTAGATTAAGAAAATGGTTGCTTAAATTAATTAAAATATATTAATTTAAATTAATATTCATGAAAGACATATTGGACAGAAGATAACGAATTAGAAAAGCTGCGTTAGATAGATGAAAATAAATGGGGTCTAGACCAACCCCAATAAAAGAAAGAAATAGATAATATAAAATTATTAAGTTCTTACCTCCATCAGTCGTTTTCTTCCCAATGCTTGCAGGATTTCTTGCGCCTCAGGATAATCTTTCATTGCTGCCAAAACGTCCTCCCGAGATAACGAGAACAGCTCAGAATATCCAACAGATCTAACGTCGGCAGTACGTCTAGAAATATAGTTGAAGAATAGTCATTTGTCGCTAAATTGATTTGTTTAGTAATTTATGCTATAAAGTTCGTCAATCGCAGTAGGATATATTTTTAGACGTGTAAAATTTTAGTAAATGACGTCTAGAGATTGACCTCGCCAAAATTTGGGGTTCAAAAAAAAACGAAGAAAAATTATTTTGTATTTTAGAAATTTTGCATAGAATTATGAACACCCTGTATGGTTTAAGATTATGATATTTATTGTAAAGTAAGTACAGACGAACTATAGTAAATACCGAGTATAGTTTTAATTTTAGACCATTTCTTGTATTTTTAATATTTATTTAAAAAAAGGCTGAAAAACATTTTTTTATTTGTTTATTAATATATTTGAAACTATCAAAACATATTTAATAGTATTAAGATACTATACCTACCCTAAGGGATTATGTGAAGTGGCCAGAAAGGAAGCCAAAAATACAATAATATACACAGTGTTTCATTTAAAAAATTATACCGATCCACTCACACTTTTTGGGCAATCCTGTAGAAGTTAAAATATTTTATATACAAAATACCTTTTTTAAAAGTTTTTTATTATATGATGCCCGACGCACTATTGCCGGACCCGTATAAAGTTGTTCCTTTTACTACTGTTTGAAACTTTGCAACCTTATCTGCGGCAACATTTTCATAGGCCACCTTATAACATTATACCAGTTACTAAAGAATACAAGGGCCAATAACACCTAAGACTAAATTGTTATCATGATTCTAAATAGTGCCGTGGCCACATATTTTTCTTAATTTAGCTGCTTGAAAAGATATTTATATTTTTGACAAATGTTTTGACTACGCCTATGGTGTATGCGGTGGTATCATATTAATTAATTACGAAAAAAAAAACTCAGCAAAATGGTAACAAAATGTACAAATCTAGTATCGACATATACACACACATGTCAAGTACATGCATAGATAAATGCAACAGTTTAGATTGGAAAGCCCGTAAAAATTTTAGGTCGCTAAATTATTTTGGATCGCGACCGTTATACGCGATCTGGCGCTGCTATAGCGGTCGCTAAGAACAACGGCAAACAAAAACAGAAATAATTTTCTCTTGTCAAAGTCAGAATCTTCAAAAATCATAATAATCTTTCAAAATCTAAACCGCTCTCATTAAAGGAATTCCGAAAAGTGTTTATAGCGTCCATTTTCAAAGTAATAATTGTTATCTTGTGAGTTTAATTCAAGTTTTATTTACTCCAACCGGTGATAATTGTGAAAAAGTGGCATTAGAAACTTAAAAAGCTGTGCTGTTAACTGTGAACTGCAAAAACCATCGTGGATCGTGGTATAACGTCGGTTTCCAATGTTTCATAGGTATTTCATACATGCGTCCTTATATAAAATAAAGTTTCTTGTATGCAACACACTGTCTTTTATTTATAAAATTAAACGAAAATAATAATAAATTTGAATAAACAATATTTGGCGATATAATTCCGGAAAAAGCCGAACCGCTCCGAAATTTTCAAAAGTTTTGGGTCGTGACCGTTGCAAGAATAGCGCCAAATAGTGTTTACATCCTTATGGGCACTTTCCAATCTAAACTTGTTTCATTATGTGTTTCATTTATCTATGAGTACATGTAATGTCAGAAAAATAATTATCAAATTCAATAAGAAAACGCTAAAAAGGTGAAATGGATTGTTTATTTACTTATGAAACGTAACTCCTGGCTCTTTCTTCTCGTTGCGGCTTTTACACTTGAACGCTGAACACGTCGCCATTGTAATAATGTTTTACAAAGTTCACTACACACAACAAACTATTAAAAATCGCTAAAATTGTCGCTGTTGACGAGCTGGTGACTCATCCGTAGACTCCAAAACGATGGAGTCTAACAGCACAAATTCTGCTCCAGGCCGTATATGGGAATTACGCGTCCTTGTATTCTTTAGTCATTGCATTATACACAGAATAAAAATAGCTTAAATTTGATATACAGGGTGAGTCTTAAATAAGTGCAAATATTTTCAGAGTTGGTAGATCTCGATAAAAGAAACATATTTTCTCTTTGCCGTTTTTCAAATAAGTCCGAGTTATTTAAGTTTCAAAAAAAAATTAAATAAAAAATAGTTTTTTTTTTAATTTTGAGAGCCACCGGATTTTTTCTGCAAGTTGTTCCTATAATTTTAATCTACTCGTACTACCGATGTTGTCACGTTTTTAAGATATTAAATTTTTTAACTGAAAATTTCAAAATTTCTTGTTTCGCGTTTCTTGTTTAATGGTGTTTGCTAGTAGCACTGTTATCAATATAAAAAAAATCAAAAGAAAAAAAATTACCTCTGCTATTTAAATAGGATATTATGCTATTATGTTATTATTCGTTATATTCTTAATGTGCAAGTCCTGCCTTATTTGTACACAATACAACGAATATCTTCCAATTTTCTTAAGCACTCACGAAACGTACGCATTTACTAACAAAATCTATCTTAGTAAAATCGCCTTCTTTAGTATTATTGCTCCTTTTTTATGTCAGTATGTGAAATGGGTATGCTTTTGTTGGCTTATTGTTTTAGAGACTTGACTCTTGACTGATATATCTACTTGGAATCTTCGTTAAAGCATTTTTTTTAATTAAATTATAAATAAAAAAGAATTGTATCAACTTAAAAACGCTTTGAAACTAGTACACACTTCTTGCAACGGTCGTGACCCAAAGCTTTTGAAAATTTCGGAACGGTTCGGCCTGGTTCGGCTTTTTCCGGAATTATATCGCCAAATTTTATTTATTCAAATTTATTATTATTTTCTTTTAATTTTATAAATAAAATAGCGTATACTGCATACAAGAAACTTTATTTTATATAAGGACATGTATGAAATACCTATGAAACATTGAAAACCGACGTTATGCCACGATCCACGATGGTTTTTGCAATTCACAGTTCACAGCACAGCTTTTTAAGTTTTTAATGCCACTTTTTTACAATTATCACGGGTTTCAGTAAATAAAACTAAATTAAACTCACAAGATAGCAATAATTACTTTGAAAATGGACGCTTTAAACACTTTTCGGAATTTTTTCAATGAGAGCGGTTTAGATTTTGAAAGATTTTATAATTTTTGAATATTCTGACCATAGATTCTGACTTTGACAAGAAATATGGACAAGAGAAAATTATTTCTGTTTTTGTTTGCGGTTGTTCTTAGCAACCGCTATAGTAGCGCCAGATCGAGTACAACGTTCGGGACCCAAAATAATTTCGCGACCTAAAATTTTGACGCGAATTCAAAATTTTGGCGGGGCCCAAAATTTTGAAGTGCAAGAAAAAAGTGTTTTGGTGTATAGTGTGGTGAATTAGTGTTTTATTTTGCTATTGTAACACTAAAGTTCCAACCTTCAATTGTAATATAAATTACCTACAATATTTTATCTGACAAGGTAAGACCATAAGGTAAGACACTTAAAATCGAGCATAAACAATTATTATACTCAAAACACACGTTTTGTGTATTTGTTACTTCGTGATTCGTTATTACAGGTGTTAAGTAGAGATGTAATAATGCTAGTACCGAAAGGTATCATTGTATAAGTTTTAGTTCTGGTTATTTCTAATTGAACTTAAAAACGGTTCAAGCGGTATGTTTTTATACTGAAATAGATAAATTAATTATAATGGCATAGTATCTTGGTAATGGAAACTAGTACCTTTGCACTTTACCATACAGGATATTTTGTTTTTCGTTCCTATATTTTTTGAATTTTTCACTCTTTTTTAGTAATTTTTTTACTTGTTAGTGGAAGTTGTAGAAAGTGGCAATATTGCATCCCTTTTAGTGCCGTAACCATGGTATTAGATATTAAAAAATTATACCGTGGAAAAATTTGCAGTGAACAGGCAGTTCTAAAAAGTTTTCGAAAAATATACAGGAAAATTTAAAAGAAAATGCACAATTTTCAACATCTTTTTTTGCGAAAGTAGACGTGTTCCTCGAGTTAAAATATACCACCCCTGAAAATATTTGCATTTATTTAAGGCTCACTCTGTATAAGTAAATTATTAATATACGTTATGGACTTAATTTCGTATCGAAAATCAATTAATACTATTATAATCAAAACATATTGGTGGCAATTTTTTGATTGGTACCCTGTTAAAATTGTTTTCCCCCAGTCAGAAATATAATATGTAAAAATTAGATTTTGATTAACTACGTGATTAGCGGAATCATCCTGCAGCCGGATCCTGTACTATGTGTTTTACTACGACACCAGTATGAAATGTAATATTTTCGCACCCGTTCAATTTTGTTTGTGGTCCGCGTTCGAGAGTAATCTCTGTATACCTACTTATTCAAGCCGTCCAAGTTGAGTATTCCAATTTCCCCGAAAAAGTCGCCCGCCTTCATCGTCGTCAACACTTTCCCCGTTTCGCTGATCACCTCCAAAATGCCGTCGGCGATGATGAACATCTCGCGCGCCACCTCCCCCTTTCGACAGATCGAGTCGCCCGGGGTGAAGATGTACGCCTTCATTTTTAAAACTAAATCTCGAAGGAACTCGGGTTGGCACTCTTGAAATATCGTCACCTGAAAAGAACAAAATTATGAATTAGGCACAGAGCTGTAGATATTTCTCGGAAATTTATTTTCGAAAATAAAATTTGCATAATCGCAATAGACAGTGATCCAGGGGCACTGACTTTTATAAAACCTCGTGGGTGCATATCAGATATGGGCAAATGTGATAAATTTCCAGACTGCTACATTTGTTCTATTAATTACACTTTTTTACATATGTAACATACATAACAAAATTAGGAAAAAACTATGTCAATTTATGTCATTTTTGCAATTATTGTATTGAGTATAATTTGAGTTATGCAGAAATAAAACCTACAGATAACAATTTGTGAAAATATTAGTTATACCTATACAGATTGTTAACTGGACGGTTACTTATTGGGAAACAGAATGGCAACACTGCCTATACATTCCAAATGAGTACTAAGCTAAGCTGCCGACTGTCGCGTCGTCTCTCGACGAGAGGGCCGAGATTGCCATAATGCAACCATAAAACTCTTGCTGCGAGTAATAAACAAATTAACAACCTGTATATTACAATCGTGTAAGGGAAGGCAGTAACACAGACAGATACTGTATTTTAGATAGAGATACAAAATGAACGAATGAAGCTAAAAATTGCTGAGAAGAGCTCCTAGTCTCCTAGGATATTGGGGATTCGGGGAGCAGCTTGGAGTTTCGATAGACAATTTCATCCCTCACAAAAAAATCTCTAAAATAAACACAATATAAACATATACAACGAGCTTTCAAATCACATAGCACATTTGAAGAGCTTATTGTAATAACATGATAAGCCACTTACCAGAAAATAGTTTTATTGACTAGTAACTAGTGTTTTTCTTGCCTTTTATAATACAAATTTGTTAGATAACCTGTTAAACTAAACTACATATCTCTAAAACGTCTTCAAATTTATATTTATTAATATTTAAATTTAGACATTTTTTCAAGACTGCAAAGTCTAATAATTCAGAATTATGGATTTGTGGCATATCATGTTATTATATTATTACAATAAGCCCTTCATTTCATATACTTTATACTGTTTGGATTAACACGATCCAAGTGTATTTGAACCAAGTGCACTTTGGTCCTGTTAACTGGTCTTTAGCCAGCTAGATTATTTGACAATGAGTCAGAAACACGTGCGCATGCGTTGTAGTAGTCGTGGATATGAACATAGTAGCTTACATCACATTTTCCTTTAAACATTAATTCGGGGTTCCTAAATTAGTTTAAAATTCGCTCTTAATTTAGAATAATTATAATTTTTATATAAATAAACAGGGTGCTAGAAATTCGAGGTACGAGCATTGGTATCTCGGTAACCGAAATAGATACGAACATGATTAAATTGGGGCAAAGTTGCGCTTTGGGATGTTCACCAAGGTGCCATCAAAAATGTTTTAAAAGTTTCAAGGATTGCTGAGTTTTTTTGGAAAAAATTGATTTTTTTGAAAAACAATTTGATTTTTTCCTGTTGTTACTTTTTAGAAAATCGAAAAACTAATTGCACATTGTCATAGCCGCTTTATTAAGGCTATCTTTGTTTCGGAAATTTGAACAAAATTTATTTAAACTAATTTGAAATCCGCGTGGCTCTGTTATATATTCATCGTTACAATATTGATAAGCCTTCAAACTTAACAATAACGTGGGGTAAAACATTGAATTTTCCATATTCAGTTGATTAGGTTAGGTTAGTTATTAAATGCAACAAAATAATACAAAATAATATAAATATTACTTGACATTATTTGTAAAAGTGAAATTAGTACATCTCAGCATTTACAATAAAGAGTACAAAATGTATTCGGAAGTATAAAAAGAAGATCTGTTTAAAGAGGTATAAATAAAATTGAACGAAAAATAAATTTGTGCAATAGGGAGGGTGGTAACCCTTTCGAACATGTAGAGCATTAGAAACTAGTTTGTAGAAGTTAATTTATTTATAATAACTACGATTAATATTATGCAAATTATTAAATCGTACACTGATAATTTCAAATTGACAATAAAAAAAGTTAAAAGTAATATCTTTAAATTGGTGACCTGGATATTATTTATTTGAATTTTTCAATTGGTTCGATTTTCCTTATTCAATGTTAATTAGCGCTGATCAATATTGCTGCGATGAATATAATCAGATTAAATAATTAAAAAAAAAACAGAGTCGGACTTGAAGTTCTTTGAAATAATAATTAAATAGTATTGTTGTTGTTAAAGTACCCAAACCAAAAAAAGTATAAGTGTGGCATATCAATGTACTTAGGCGACCGAGTTCTCTCAAAATCTAAATTAAAAAATGCAGGTCCGTATTTAAAAAAGTTAAGATGGTCTCTGTATCTCACAAATTATCAGCTAATTTGAAAATCTAAAAATACTATCGAATAGCCCCTAATAAGGTGGCTATGAGAAATGTGCAATTAGTTATTTGATTTTCTAAAATCTTCCGTTTAATATTGAAATGAAACAGAAAAACGTAAATCTTTTTACATATCCATAGCTTTAGATTAATGCGAGAAAAAGGATCGTTTTTTATGTCCTTTCAATTTGAAAGACTACCACATGTTTACTTTCGACATCAATTTATTTATTCGATCGGTCCTTATTCTAAGAAAATTTCCGTATCGGGAATAACACCCAAAATTTTGTCGATAGCAATTTTTCATTCTCGCTACTCTCTATCTGTTCGTATTATCTGTCGTTAAATATTAAGTTGTCAGCCTCCAGTGAAATCTATATTATGCGCGAAAACGGGAATAATGCCATCATTTTAGAATTATACGAATAATTTATTTCCCACTAGTAAGTGTATTTATTTATTTATTGATTTATTATATATTAATATCATAGTAGAAGGAAAGGGGAGTAGTTGCACTGTCCCAAATATTTTTTGCCAGTTTTTACAATCTGTCGAATATCGGCAGATCGCAGAGCGTTTCAGTTGAGTTCCGTCCGTCCAAGGTTATTAACTGTCCGTCGACTTGCGAGGTTCGAGCGTTGCGTCCCAGCACAGAGACGGATTGACAAAAAATGATACCAAAAATATTTTTTGTTACATGCGAAAGTCCATTGATACTTTCTAGCGGTCAAAATCAAACTCTTCTAAATAAGACGTGATCTCTTATTGATCTTGCTTTGAAGTTCTTTTGAAGTTCCTATAATGTTTATTAACAATTACTGAAGTTTAAAAATGGTAATTAATGATCAAAAACGTACTTGACGTTTAGAAGAAGCTTATTCCAGATCTGGAAATTTTATTCCCCGATCCTGTATAGAAACAATTCTGTAGAAATATCTGCTTTCTATAGAAATGTTTTTTATGTAAAATATGAGCAACTTAAAGTAATAATTCACTTGTCCAACCAGAATAATTTAATCGTTTAATTTCTGTGTTTAATATACCAACATTGTAAGATGTATAAAGAAATAAATCGTTCCAAATTTTTATGCACAGAGAAGTGGGCATTTTTATCAGGTAGTTTAGTATAATGTTGCTCAATGTTGCCCAATCAAATTTGCATTTTTAATTCAAAATGTAAGGCTTGTTTTCAAATTTAGTTAAGTTGGTTTATGTTGTTTGGTGTAAATTTTAAGTTACCTATTTTTTTTTATTTTTTTTCTTCATTTGTGATCATGTTTGTGTTCAGTTAGAGTCAGATTTTCTTATGGCTGATTTAATAATTTGATGTTATTTTCATTTAAACCTCAATTTTTTATCGATCTTACTTTCGACAACCATCTCTTGCTTGCTGTTTAACGAACTGCACCATCATCGAACAAAAAATTGCTAGTACCGAAAGTACCGAAAAAAAAACTGGAAATCCCGGTTCCTTAGAGGCATGGTACCGAAATTACTGGTTCCGAAAAGCAGCTCCGGTTGCAGAAACGGTATAACGTACCAGAACCGTAAATCACCCTATACAGGGTGAGTCTTAAATAAGTGCAAATATTTTTAGGGGTAGTATATTTTGACCTAGAAATATGAGGATTTTCCTAGGCATTTTTTTTTTAAATCTGAAATTTTTTTAGCTTTTAGTTAAAAAACATAATTTATTGATAATATGGTAACTAGGGTTCAGAACCGGAAATTTCCGATTCTTTTGATATATCAAAGAACCGGGACTCGAAATTATTAATTCCCGGTTCTTTCGGTACCTTCGGGACTCGGTAACAATAATTAAAAAAATTATACTTTTATTACGTGAGAAAGTAGTGATGCTATTTCTCATTGTTCTTGCTTCTTTTCTCTTTTGAAATTTCTGTAATAATGTTTATTAGCAATTATTAAAGTTTAAATACCTATGTTATTTTATTATTTAGTACAATGTGTTGTTCAGTGTATTAGTTATCCAATGAAAATCACTTAACCGATATATTACGAAAAAACAAACACATTAATGGTAAAATTAAACTTGTTTTAAATTAAAAGAAAGTTGTAGAAAATCTCTGAAATAGATAATAATACAAAAATATGTCATAATTTTTTCCGCATTTCTTCCCATCAAAAAATTTTCAGATACAGAAGAATTGTTGCTTGCACGAAATGTGAAAATATTCTGTTTTCAGCAAATTTTTACTCGATGGTCAATTTATTTTATTTTATTTTATTGTGAGCTCATATTTTCCTAAATACATCTCTGTGAAACTATGGCGAGTACCACGACTATACTTTGCTTAGTTATAGACCACGATTATACAGCTACGTCAGTGGTCACGGGATGCGAGAACAAGGTCATATAAAGTGGCAGAAAAAGAACACAGGATTTGACAAGGAGTCAAGCTACTAGTTTCCTTATACTATGTTAATATATCATTAACGAAATATATCATATTAGAATAGACAAAAAACGGCGTCAAAGACTGCTGGGGAATAATAATCGATGATAATTTTAAATTAAATAAGGTGAATTTGAATCAGTATTTTTATTAAAACTCTGGTATTTTTTTTTAAATTAAAATATATATTTTATTCGAAGTATTAACAAAATAATTCCAAGTAACAAAGCTTTGGTTCGATACAGGGTGATTCGAATTGTTTTCGCTTCAGTAGTAAATTCTGTAGACAAACATAAGTAAAAGTGTAGAAGTTTCATTTTATTTCAATTCTTCCAAATAATTTCTTAATTAATGTTGATAGTTGGATAAAAATTGGTGTTTGGGACTTTTTTGATGTGATAAATTTGATTTCGGTGTCAGTATGACTCTTACTTATAGAGGGCACTACCTACATACATATTTTTTGAGTCGTTTGATGTGTATTAATTTTTTGTCTGTACCTGTATAAAACAAGTGAGTTAAAAATATACCATTAATTCCATTTTTAACATAAAAAAGGTCTCTTAGTAAAAATCACTACAAGTAATGGTTCCCAAGATAATTGGAATCGAAATAAACAATCCATGACATCATTGACAAAATTTGAACATGTTAGCTAGATAGTTTTAGAAATCATAAATTTAAAATGTTTTTGTGTCAAAGGTTCAACAAAAATTATTGTTTGATCATTAGTTTTTCTAGAAAAAATATGATTAATTTTAATAAATATTAAATAACCAAATTTATCATTTCAGGCAAGCTACTATCTAGTGAACATATTTATTTTTTTATCCGCGACACGTCTGTAATTTCTTTTTATTATGAAATAATAATAATATTCATTATTCACTACTGAATAAAGGTTTCATTATTCACCGCTTCCACGGCTATCTCGATCCAAACTCATTAGGTACCATTAATGTAAATAAATAATTTTTGTTTTAATTAGTTAAAGCTAATTTTTTTTAATTTCTTAAATTTCAATGTTTTGTTTCCATGTTACTTACTCGTTATACTCGTTCAATATTTCTTTGACATTAAAAATAAAAACTTATATTATTATTATCTAAATTTTTTTCATAGTCCTAGATATAGTATTCTACTCGCATATAATGGCTGTTATTCACTTGGATGATTTATCTCGCTTGCGCTGCGGCTCGTGTCATAAACATCATCCGCGTGAATGACAGCTACAATTATATGGTCGATGAATAATATACTATTATAAATGATGATATGTATTGATAATTTTCTTTTACGTTTAGTTGTAATAATTTTTAACAAGTCTTTTTTTACATAAAAACGGCGGAAATGTACATTTTTTACTCAGTAGTTTTCTATACCGGTAGGAATGAAAATTTATTACTCTTCAAGACAGTTAAAACATATGTAGGTTGTAGGAAACCGCTGAAACCAATTTCCATCCAAATATCGACTTTAGGTCAGAAATTATTAAAAAAAATCCAAATAAAAATCAAACTTCTACACCCTGTAACACTGAAACGAAACACAAATTTATATAAATTTTTTTACTTATTTTTTATCTGCAGATATGCTGCCGCAGCTTTCTAAATAGAATTTGGACTACCCTGTATAACACACCAAGTCATCTACTTATATGTGCTTAATACTTATTTTATTCTTTAGGTTACCATACAAGATCAAATATCAAAACAAGAAAAGTTCTGTTTTTTTAGGGTTCTGTAACTCACAAGAAAAAAACGGAACCCGTATAAATAGGATCACTTTGTTGTCTGTTCGTCTGTCTGTCTGAGGAGACCCTTTATTTCTGGAACCCTTGGAGGTATCGAGTTGAAATTAAAACCATATACTCAGGTCTAAAGTCCCTTGAAACTGTGATAAAAATCAAACATCTAAGTTAATGTAAAAAAAAACAACAGAAATGGATGCCCCAAAAAAAAATATATTTAGATATTCTCAAAGGAATCCAAATTTATAGAGTATTTTCCGTCGACATAAAATTATGAAATTTGGTAAGTAATATCAATGACTAAAGAATACAAGGACAAATAACATCCGAGAGCAAATTGTTACCATGTCACCAAACAGTGCCGTGGCACGTATTTTTCTTAACTTAGCTGTTTGAAGAGATATTTATATTTTTTGAAAAATGTTTTGACTACACCTATGGTGTATGGTGTATATGGTGGTATCATACTAATTAATTACGAAAAAAACGTATTAAAATGTTAACAAAAGGTACAAAACTAGTATCGACGTATAGCACACATCAAGTTCATATAATATCAGAAAAATAATTTATTAAAATCAATAAGAAAACTAAGAAAACGCTAAAAAGGTGGAGTGGACTGTTTATTTACCAATGAACGTAACTTCTGGCTCTTTCTTATCGCTGCGGCTTTTACATTTGAAAGTTGAACAACTAATCACCATTGTAATAAAGTTTATACAAAGTTCACTACACAAACTATTAAAAATTGCTAAAATTGTCGCTGATGATCAGCTGATGACTCATTCGTTGACAGTGTTGACACCAACAAAATGGCGTCTAACGTAACAAATTCTGCTGCAGCTCGTATATGGGCGTTACATGTCTTGGTATTCTTTAGTCATTGAGTAATACTGTCTTATACTATACAAGTAGGTATAGTGAAAAATCTGAAAAAATTACATTTGTAATTAAATAATTTCCAGGGGATTCCATTTTACAAGATTTTTCTCGTGAAGAGAACACGGCGTATTTTTTTCGGTAAAAGCAATTTTTCACTCTCCCCAGTCTCTATCGGCTCTTGTTATCTGTCGTTAAATTTCAAAGTCGTCAACCTCGGATGTAATCTACATTTAACGAAGAAAAAGCATGGAAAATGCGACGGTATATAGCGAAATAGAAAATTTCGCGTAACGGAATTAAGTGCCCGCATTAAATGAGGCGAAAGAAGAATATTTTGCATTAAAATGAAAATTTAATGTACCGTTCGTTCAGAATAAAATACTGATTTAAATAGCAAATTTAGGTATTTCAAATATACACCGTATCGGAATAGAGCAGGCAGACTAAAATATAAAAGACACATCTTTAGTTAAATTATGTATGTAAAAATAGGGCATGTTCGGTCTTTCGGTATACCGGTATTAGGACCAGTATTTTTGAAATATTCCGGTGTCGGTATCGTCTTTTACAAGACCGGTATACCGGTACCGGAAGACCGGTTTAAATCGATCCCAACAGACTGGTTTCAATCGGTACAGAAAAATAGATTCATGATAATATGAAAATCAAAAATCAAGTATCATTAGTTTCATAAAAGTGAATTATAAGATTGCAATAATACGTAGATGTTCTATTCACAGAATATTATATATTTAGTAGTGTAAACAGTTAATTTAATAACAACAAATAAGTTACATACATGTACAACATTACATAACGTTGCGGGCCTGTGTGGACTCAGCCTAACCCGTTCTAATATGTCCTGCTCCCATATGACCTGGAATCGCATTAAAGAAGAGACCACTGTAATGACTCAGTTCGAGAACAATCGAGTTTCACTGGAATGGCGGTGTACATACGAGAATATTCTAAATCTCTATGCACCTAATGATCTAATGGACTATTCGAGAACTGTTTAGCTGTGGGTATATACATATAACCCGACGCCTATGCAAAAGAGGGACAGAAAAAAACAAACAGCTTCGGTCGACGCGTACAATTACCGCGTACCGTTACCGACGCGTTACCGACGCGTACAATTACCGCGTCAAAATAAATCCTTTTAGATAAATAATTAATAATTGTAAATAACTTATAAATAGTTTTATCGTTGTTGTTTTGTTACTTAGTGTAAAATAAATTGTGTTTAAATAAATAAGACTTTCTATCCACACGGAACCGACGAAAAACGTAACAATAACAATGTGCTATGTCTTTCTTATACTCACTTTTTTAAGGACGCTTAAATTGACATGAAGGGCTAACTCTGTCTTAAGTTTATCAGGCAACTGACCTAAGGCTGTGTTTATATCTCCTCCTCCCTGTATCCTCCCTCGTGACCATGAATAGTCGTACCATCGTAAAACTCGCCGTTTCATCCCTCCTGGTACCTAAAACACATTAAAGTTATCATTAACTCAGACAAGAAAATATAATAAGAAAATATAATCTCTATTATTATTTAAACCGTTCTAAACGTATGCTCTATTTAAGAAAAAGTTTTACAAATTTCAACAAAGAGTTTTTTTGGAAAAAACGGAATTTTTTGAAAATCAATTTTATTTCTTCCTGTTGTTTCTTTTTAGAAAATCAAAAAACTAATTGCACATTCTCATAGCCACTTTATTAGGGCTAGCTGACAGTATTTTTAGATTTCCAAATTAGCTGATAATTTGTGAGATACAGAGGCCAACTTAATTTTTTTAAATACAATCTGCACTTTTTATTTTAGGTTTTGAAAGAACTCGGTCTCCTGAGTACAATGATGTGCCACACTTAATATTTTTTGTTTTGGGGATTTAAACACAATTTATTTAACTAATTTGAAGTCTGACTATGTTTTTTTTTTTAATATTTAATCTATTCATCCTTACAATATTGATAACCCTTCAAACAATGACGTGGGGTAAAACATTGAATACGGAAAATCAAATGCAATAAAAAATAATATAAAATAAATGAAATTAATATAATATATCAAATAATTTCCCCGGAAGATGGATTGGCAATGGTAGAGCAGTATAATGGCCCCAGCGAGGTTCCTGCACCTGTAACCAAGAGGCGGGAGGGGGGCATTACTTGACGTCATTTGTAAAAGTAAAATCAATATTTTTCAACATTTACAATAAAGAGTACAAAATGCATTCGGAAATAAAAAAAGATGTTCAAAAAGCTATAAATAAAATTGAACGACAAATAAGTTTATGCAATAGGGAGGGTGGTAACCTTTTCGAACATGTAGATCATTAGAAACTAGTTTGTAGAAGTTGATTTATTTATAATAACTACGATTATTCTGCATATTATTAGATCGTATACACTGAGATTTCAAATTCACAATAAAAAAAATCCTTATTCAATGTTAATTAGAGCTAATCAATATTGTTGCGATGAATATAATCATATTAAATAATTTAAAACACCAGAGTCGGACTTGAAATTATTTTAAATAACAATCAAGTAGTTTTGTTGTTGTTAAGGTATTCAAAACAAAAAAGTACTGAGTATAAAGTGTGGTATATCATTGTACTCACGAGACCGACTTCTTTCAAAACCTGAAATAAAAAATACAGGTTCGTATTCAAAAAAAATTAAGGTGGCCTGTATCTCACAAATTATCAGCTAATTTGAAAATCCAAAAATACTATCAGATAGCTCTAGTGGCTATGAGAATGTGCAATTAGTTTTTGATAGTCTAAAAAGTAACGACAGGAAAAAATAAAATTGATTTTGAAAAAAATCCGTTTTTCCAAAAAAAGTCAGCAATCCTTGAAATTTTTAAAACTTTTTTGATGGCATCTTGGTGAACATCCCAAGTCGCTACTTTGCCCAAATTTAACCAACTTCGTATCTATTACGATTTCCGAGATATCAATGCTCGTACCCCGAATTTGTAGCACCCTGTATAAAGTACGGGGTGAGCCAAACTATTATTATCACTAAGATATAACTAAGAATAAATTTTACACTCCTGCCATGGAACAACATGAAGACAGAGTTTCCAGACGGTCACCCGTCCAGCTACTCGCATCATCTACCGTCGTACAAAGGAGTATTTTTTATATCTAGCTGGCCAAAAGTGATTTCCGAAAAGCACGCGTAGATAAAAAGATACGGTTCTCAAGCAATGCCAGAGAGACCCCCGCTCCGAACCCAGTGTTTATGGTGCCCCACTCCACCATAAAATGGAATGCATCAGTCGGTTTTCGGACGTTAAAAAGCAGTAATTATTTCGAACTGTTTTCTGTGTAAAAAACGTGACTTTTAGAAGTGTTGTATTTTTTTAGGAAATACAGATTTTAACTAACACCTTGAGATTTTTTTCAGGTAATTTCTAATATATCAGAAGAGTATCAAGAGACTGCACACGAAAAAAAAATACTGATTTGAAGAAAAAACTATGGAGTATTTAGTTTTCTAATTTCACCATGTTTTCTACATTTTTTATTTTAATATTGTATACATATTGCATGCTATTTAAATACAGTGAAACAGAGTACCTAATTGCATAAAAATATACGTTATTTTTATGTCATTTTATATTTTTGTGCTATCTGTTACTAGTTAGTCGGGATTATATTTACAAATTTAATTATCTATTTTTCGTATTCCCAACAGTTCCCGAAAGTTTCAAAATCCGATTAAAGTGCAATAGCGTTAACTCAACTAAACAAAAAAAAATCCGATTTTTTGCTCTTCTTTTTGTCCGGGCTTTTTTTGGATCTTTTCTGTATCATGCTAACTTTCCGTTTTCCAGAGCTTTGCCACTCGACAGCACTTGATCCGTTTTAGTTAAACTGCCACACTAAAATTCCCTTTTCTGTAATTGACTTTTATTCAAAATAAAAAAAAAATAGTTTTAAGGGAAGGATTTTTTTCACTGCCGCAAATTTAATCCGCTATAGAATGGACGAAAATTATTGTTCAAAAGTGGCTCACCCCTATAACTTTTTGATTTTTTCAGATAAAAAAAACGAGAGTTGGTATGTTTATACCGGGTGCGTCACAAAAGTGGCTCACCCCTATAACTTTTTTATTTTTTCAGTTAAAAAAACGAGATTTGGTATGTTAGTATATGACATATGATATGTCATTCTATTCAGAATATCATTTTCTATCGAATAAAGTAAAAAAATACCGAGGGTCTATTTAAAAATCTTTTAAAAAACTTGTAGTCATTTCCGGTGAAACAGGAAGTGACCAAAAACAATTGAATACGTCAATCAATTCTAATTTATGTCTTATACTAACATACCCAACCTCGTTTTTTTACCTGAAAAAATAAAAAAGTTATAGGGGTGAGCCACTTTTGAGACGAACCTGGTAGATGACATAAATTAGGATTGATTGATGTATTCAATTGTTTTCGGTCACTTCCTGTTTCGCCGGAAATAACTACAACTTTTAATTTTTAAATGACACCCTCTGTATTTTTTATTTTATTCGATAGAAAATGACACTCTGAATAGAATGACGTATCACATGTCAACTTTTGACGTTTTCCCAGATGGGTTATTTGAAATTGTAAAATGCGGTTCATAACGACATTTCAAATATCGAAATGCCAAGTGTGTGGTATCAAATTATTCGTAAAAAAATACTTTTTCGAAATATGCTAATGAGCCAGCCTCGTTCTATTTGAAAAAATGGGTTATGTTTAAAAATACGATTTGGACATCGTTTAACCGACCAGGACAAGACACGAAAACATTAGACGATCAAATCTATTTTTCCAATAAGGTTCCTTCATTAAACATTAGTGTTTTTAACACAGCCATGGCACTCTAGATTGAAATTTAAAATACCATTTTTTTTTGAAGCGAGAATGTCAAAAGTTGATTATATACAGGGTGTCCGGAAAGTCAACGATTATACTGAAAGGGGTGATAGACCAACTCAGAAGCATCCAGAAAAGCATAATATGACCTTAGTAAGAAATCGATGGTTTTCGAGATATTACCACTTTAATAAAATTTGTTAAAATCGTCTCCTTGGAACAGATTTTCAGTTGTTGGAAAATAAAAAAAAATAAATAAAAAAAATAAAAAAAAATGTAAAATTGTGTAAAATTTTAACAAATTATATTAAAATGGCAATATCTCGAAAACCATCGATTTTTTACTAAGGTCATATTATGTTTTTCTGGATGCTTATGAGTTGGTCCATCACCCCTTTCATTATTAGCGTTGACTTTCCGGACACCCTGTATATATGTCAGAGTGTCATTTTCTATTCGAAACCTATTCAGGGTGTCATTTTCTACTGAAAAAAAAAGTAAAAAAAAATACCGTTTGTGCCATTTAAAAATCAAAAAGTTGTAGTCATTTCCGGTGAAACAGAAAGTGATCGAAAACAATTGAATACGTCAGTTAATCCTAATTTATGTCATATACTAACATACCAAACCTCGTTTTTTTATCTGAAAAAATAAAAAAGTTAGGTTACCCGGTATAAAGACTTGAAGTAAATCATGTTCTAAGTGCTAAAAATATCGGTTCGTCATGCTTTATTTGTAAAATATCCTATAAGTTCTATAACTATCAACATAAAAATAAATAAAGAAGCCCCTATGTATCACGGCTATTAAATTGTACTGAAAACAATAATAATTCTCAACAGAGACACCGCCCATTCGTATACATTGGTTATTTAACAAAAAAATATTGTTTATTTCGAAATATTCATTTTGGCACTTAAAACATTACTTACTTGAAGTGTTCATATATACAGAGTGTATCAAAAAATATGTGCCATCTTCCTCACGTAAAAATAAGATTTATTTTTTATATAAACATAGGTCCGATTCTGGTTTGTGTCTTAGCTACAAGGGGTTAAAGTTTTAATTTTTTCGATTTATTATAATTTGCTTCCAAATGCTTTTAACTATTCGAATGAAATTTTGAGGGTAAAAGTTACTATAAGTGCGACATATTTTAATAGTAAAAAAATTATCGATATATTCACTGAGGACATGCATATGGGTTAAATTTTCTTAAAAAAAATGTGCGTCAATGACTCTTTTCTCTTGTTAGTAAACCTGTAAAGGTCGTTTAATGTCGATTAAAAGTTATCTCGTGATATTTATAATAAGAGAAAAAGTCGGTGCGGACATGTTTTTTTAGAAAAATATTCCAGTTTTAACCCATATGCACGTCCCTGGTGATAACCCATATGCACGTACCCTGATTGCATCTGAAAAAATAAAAAAATTATAGGGGGTAAACCACTTTTGAGCAACACCCGGTATACCCTACAAAAAGTAGATGGTCATTCAGAAGTATAAATATAAACATCAATATCTAGTGGTTAACTTTAGAGAGCTAAATTTATCCTCGAAATAGAATATTGTCATAGAGAAATTGCCCTCAAAAGCCTTTTTCATCAATCAATA